TTGAAAGTAATTGAAATGATAGATAAACCTTGTCGAAGTAAATCTAACAACTGTGATAATTTTTTCGAATCTTGTCCTTCGATTACAGCTGAATCTCTTCTTATTTCTCCACCTAATTCCCGAAAACGTTTTTGTAATTCTTGAAGAATTGTGTCAGCATAAGGATTTTGATAATGTTGAATGCACACCCATCGAATATGTCCATCATTTGTTGTTGTACGATATAAATTACCTAATGTTTGTTGATTATCGACTCCTTTTAGAAAATGTTTTATTTGACGAAGTTCTGCACCTTGCAAATGCCGAACGGCTTGATCTGTTGAAAAGTCAACAGTTCGCTCGGATATTTCGAGAGTTTCATTCATTTGTTCGAGTCGTTGTTTAAAATTTTCCCACATGAATCGATCTTTAAAAACATTTGGAATCGAATTATTTGGCTTGAAAGATGCGATCGATGGAATAACAATACTACTGATGGTTGTAGCATACTTTACTAATGTTAACATTCGACGTATATGAGGTCCATATTTAATTAAGAATTCACGAGGCTGTTTTATTTCGTAACCATCATGAAATGCCAGATGACGTTCATGCTCATCTTCACATTCGCATAGAAAATACAGTCGATAACGATAGTGAAACCAATTTTCCGGATTGTAAGTAGTTGTTTCTTCTGGTAGAACAATGAATAGTCGAGGTATAGTAAATTCAGCTAGTTCGAATGTTTGACGAAGGATAGCATCAACTTTACTTTTCAAAATCTCTGTATTTTCACGAATGATAGGTACGTCTCTATGAATATCTCGAACCATTTGTATCATTGCATTATTATGTGGTTCAGATGGCAGTCGTTTGTAACAGTAAATTACATCAAAAATGAAAGCTCGAATACGATATGGTTTTAGTTTATTGCCTTGTCCATCACATTCGAATGGTATCAGTAAACCATTGTAAGTAAAATATTTTATACCTGAATTGATAGAATTCTGTATTTTTTCCAATAGAACAAACTCTTGACCGTCGATAGTCGATATTGGAATGTCATAAAGACGATCAATGTATTGGCATTTTTGATAAGTCATTCTATAAAATATAGTATGAAATATTATTTGCTTTATAGAAATTTTCTGAGAAAAAAGACGTAAATGTTATGTCATCAAAGTATAGAGCAAAAGGAAGAGTAGTTGAATAGATCTCTCCTTTGAATGCTACATAAATTTATGAGATGAAGCTAATATTTTTGTCGGTACTCAGCCCATCCTAATAGTTATGCAGAATACTTTAAAGACACCAAAGTTAGTAAGCGAATAAGGTTAAGTATTTACTGCTTACTTTTAAAATCAAATAAGAAATGTTGTCAAATTCAAATATATATGACTCTAATGATTTTTGAAGAAAATATTTTGTCTCTCTTAAATAAAGGTTGAAAGAGTTGGACTTTTCCGATCGAATAAAAACAAGTATGATTCATTTTGTAACACAAAATCATAACACAATATATATTTGCTGTTTTTTCCGTTTGGATGCAGAATACAAAGATGACGCACGTCATTCTTACTCATCTAATTAACATACAACGTGAAAAACAAGGTAAAATGATAACTACTCAGTCTATTCTATGGTAGAATATTATTCTAATAGTAAAATTTTTCATCATATTCTTATTGATAACATATGATTATTATTCTGCTTGGTAATTTTTTTTATGCGACGACGCTTCTTATCAAGTTTTCTTTCAATAAAACTATTCCAATGATTAATTATTCCGTGTGACCTAAATAGGTATTTCGGGGGAGAAAAAAATTGATTGCAATCAAATCAATCATAAACGATAATTGACAATACTTATTAGTCGATGGAGAGAAAGCAATAACAGAGTCTCATTTCAGATACTCTACTTATTTTTTAATTTATAGGCGTCCCTAACAAAAAAAATAGAATGAGATCTTGAGGGTGTGGCTGTGGGTGTATGTGGATAGCGGTGAATGTAGGTATTATTTAAACCCATGCCCACACGTACACACATACCCTATATGTAATTTCTAGAAGAATAAACAACGTTACAAACACTTTAAAAAGATTTTAATTCATATGAGTTTTTAGTCTGTATATTGAAAAAAACTTCAAATTATAATTTAATAGCTGAATGCATGTAAATTTTTTAACAAATAGCTTTAAGTATTAAGTATCCAAATAACTCCAAATTTTGAAAATCGTATTATGAAAACTACGTAGCACAAAATTCGTATTGTTTTTCGTTAATTAAAACTCGAATGATGTCGCCAATGACCTCATCAATCATTCGACTCAAGGAGAATATTATGCTGCACCTGTGTTCTCTTTCACTCTATAGTTATTGCACAACTTCTAGTAACTTTCACCAGAGGTAGGAATCAGAAACGATGAGAAAATGCGGTCCGATGACTAATTGTTATCAGCACTCTAAAAAATCAAGACGTATTAAGCGTCTAAATAAGACGTTTCATTCGTTTAGACAAGAACACATAATTTAAAGATTGGAAAGAGATTTTCATTACAAAACTTTTGAAAGAAATTCTATATATTATATTTATGAAAAAAAATCATTTTAAATACAACTTTATCATTAAAAAAAA